TATTTTAAGATCGAACATTTCATCTTTTATCAAATTTCTTGAAAAATAAAATCAAGCAAAATTAACCGTTAATTCGATTCGTTTAAATTACGTTCACAAGTACTTTGTTTATCTTTGATTGTATTTACACTCTTGACTGATGTCATTAGTAGCACACCTTAATTATACATTTTACATTTTATTATCCATGTTGTATTTAGTCATTTAATTCTCAACGTCATTCGAAAACTATGATCGAAGGTATTTCTAAAACATCCACAGCGGCGGGAGAATACAAAGTCGAACGTGGCACGCGGGTAAATACAATCTCTTATGCGGATGACTCAGGCTTTGGTATCCTTTAGATTTAGGCGTAATGCGTACTCGATGACTCGTTCGTGTTATAATCGCGGATAGAATGGAATCACGGATTCTTCCGAGACGTTATATTGAAACAATTTTTCGTTTTGCTGAATCTTTTTGCGTTAAATCACATCGCAGATAAACCTATTTCATAATAATTATTTTTTTTTTTTTTTTTACTTCTTGCTGATTGATAACGCATTCTTTCGCAAATTCCAAAGGAGAAAACATTTTTCTCTTTTATAAATCAATTATTAAGAGAAGAAGTAGGATATAAAGGAAAAAAGATTGGAATCCCATGAAACATACTTACATGGTGGACAACGAAGTGCATCGTTGCGATGGAATGTGGGTCACTTCATTTAGGTCATTACAACAATCAACTTGTACGAGGTTCATTGCTCTCGTTTTGCAACTGCCGCAAAAATATCATTCTTCTCTTACTAGATTAATCTGTACGGTCAGCATTATCTTTCGAACTTGTCGAACATTCGTATCGATTTCTTCATTACCGGCATTCCTTGACAGTTCTTTGATCATTAGTCATCCATTCCATTTCTGAGAAATATCCATTCGTAACAATTATGCAACGTTGATTAAGAAAGAACGTTTTTTTTTTTTCAATGTACAGACACATTAACGTTCCTAAAGTAAATCGAGATATCCCGAATTAAAACGAGAAGCACGCGTCAGCGCATAAAATCACGCGTGCCAGCCGCGGTTGAAAATCAGGCCAATACCCCACGAAAGAACACACGTATCCCCTTTTCTTAATAATTGTGACACATTAAGCGTAATTACCGTTCAACCGTCGTGAGGAGCGCGCGCGTATCGGGTATCGCGATGGTAAAACATGAACTCGTGATGTCACGCGTTGTGTCACGTACTATGGCGAATGTTTTACCATATAACGTGACCACGCGGCGATAGATCGCGCTTAAAGTTGCGATTTCCTTTGAAAACTAGTCCTTGGCGTAGGATGTCCCGCGGGTGTCGATAGACGGCGCAGTTGTGCCACTTTGTTAAGGATATGTGGATCGTGTAACGAGTTTCGCCGCGTTTACATAGCCGTCTAGATTCGAAAACCGTTACGTGCGTTTTGAATGATCGCAGGGAGTTGTTGAGAAACCGACTACGAAACGATAAAACTATATAATGTAAATAAGCATATGTTGTACACTCGTGTTGTCGATACGCGTTCCTCAGACTTGTCCAACGCTATATTTACGATTTCCGGCAGACAATCTTAAGACTAGGTCACGGAATTGCATTATGTCTACTTATACGCCAAGAGAGTATTGATAATGCGTCGCTCGCATCTCAAAATCTTAATTCTTGTTCATCTCATTTTAATATCAAATCGAACAGTTTAGCTTCTCGAATTCGTTTGCGATTCGATTGATTAGATTAGAACGTCGAATCAATGCTCGAATTAATGCGCGTAACTTAAACATCCATCCTCATTATCCGAGTAAAATGATAATAGAGAGAAAAGTATTATGAATTAAAGCGATAAATTGAATTAAATCCGGAAGCAGGGAGAGGCCACCCCTCCTCTCAATCTCGTTCCCCCGAACGAGAAGGAAGTTTCGTTGCGGCGACTGCGGAATAATCATCGGCCGCGACAACAGTAGCCGGCACACGGGGTTAGCGGCCGTGGCGGTGCGGCGGCAGGGGGCGAAAAGAGTGACTCATCGTTGAGCCAGGCCAGGCCTTACGAGCTGCAGGTCAGGAGAGGAAGACACTTTTAGCCCACATTTCTTCCTTGCCCCCCTTCTTCGCCGTTCTTCGACTGGTGTGTTCCTTTATTTTTACCCCAGCCGTTTATTCGCGGTTCCTCGTTTCCTATCTCGCTTCCTCCTCTCCTGTTTTTCCTCGTTCGTCTATTCTGCTTCCCAGACACGCGTCGTTCCCGAGGATTGCTACGCGTTGGCCGACGCCGAGCGTCTTAATGGGTTTCGAGGATGGTTGTCGAGGGTCTTTTAGAACGATATAATTAATATCTGTACAAAAAAATATATATATATATACATATATATAAATATTAAATATTTTATATAAATATATAAAATAGAAGTATTGCGAGTGAGGGTATTTCAAAGAAAATTCCAAAAATATCTAAGCGGTTTAGCAACTTCCGGGGTATTAGGAGTTTATTTTGCATCCCTATGCTTTCTCGAGTCGGCGTTTCTTAAGACTGGGAAGACTTTCAAGATCGAAAATTCATAATGCAACGTTAGTAGGGCTTCCTTAGAACTACACACCAGATTATGAGATTGTGAATATTTTTTTTAAAGTTTTAAAAATGTGTTAAATTTATCAAGAAAGCCTGAGGACATTCGAGAGTTCCTCGATGTGTTCTGATAGCTAACGGCTATGACGGGGTAACAGGTTTAGATACAGCACACGGAAGTATGGCGAACCTGCTACGCGAACGGTTTATTAGCTGGTCGCGTTTCTCGAGAAATCGCTGTGTACACAATTCCAGGATACACACAATTCGGGCCAACTGAATCACTACGTTGTGCCTCGTGGGCAAAAAACGCGAATAAGGAACATCTTTGTTACACGTTCCTTTTGTAGTAGAATCCGTGGAATTTTTTTATCTTACTTAAGACATGATATTATTTTTACAGCTGGTTTAAAATCGATAATTTTCTCAAGAATATAAAAAGACAATTTCTCCACTTTTCTTCATTTATCCTATTTTTTTTTTCTTCAGAATTATCATAAATTCTATCATCTATCTAAACTATAAAAAAAATAAGTATAGATAGAAAATACTTTAAAAGATTATTAGCATTAAATATTTCTGATATGTAACCAAGTTATAGTTAAAGATCACAGGATCGAACGGACACCACCTGCTCCCGGTTCACTGTATCGGTATTTTCAAAGTAACTCGATGCTTCCCCTGAGACCAGTTCCCACGACCCTGTTCTCTCGTTAGGCTTCCAGACCAACTCTCGACGCCCCAAAATCAAAACCGCTCCTAACCGATCCTTTTCGATTACTTTCAGGTGGACACAAGGAGTTCCACAGGCGGCACAGGGACCTCTGCGAGGACACGCTTCTCCCAACAGTCGGAGCAGGTCCGTCCACTGTCGGTAGTTGTTCCAGTCCAGGACCAGGGTGTCCAGTATTAAGTCTGTCCGGACCACCGACTCCACAACCCGCAGACATCGATAGTCACCCAGCCTCGAGAGTTCTACCGTTCCTCTACCTTGGAAATGGCAGGGACGCGGCCGATTTGCAACTTCTTCGCGCGTTAGGCGCAACCAGAGTCCTCAATGTCACTTCACAGCTGCCTGGATATCACGAGGAGAGGGGTATCACGTATAGACAGATCCCTGCCTCGGATTCTGGCCACCAAAACCTTAAGCAGTACTTCGAGGAGGCGTTCGACTTCATTGGTGAGTCTCCATTCTTGATACGATAGAATTTATGGAGGAATAGTTGGAATTTATCTACCGTCGATAACAGTGGACAAACTTTTTCGAGAGGTAACCGTTCGGTTTGAGTAATAACGACGAAATGGTTATAAGAATGAGAAGATTCTAGATAATTCTAAGAGCATTTCTCGTTTGATCGTTATTGCTATCTAATGGATCGGGGATACCTATTAGGCATAGAGAAAACGTATATACTTCTCCAGTAACGGGATCACGTTTATAAAATGAAAATTCTCGGATTATTCTTGAATTCTGTTACAAATGCATGTAGCCTGCATTTCAGACTTTGATAAATTGATTTTTGCACAAGGAAACAGCAAATTCTTATAAAATCTCTCTGCCGTTTTTATGTTTCTCTCGCGTGTTTAAGAACCAGGAAAAATATGTTGATTCAACTACGCGATCAATGGAACGAGATTCTATTCATTAAACAACGGGAACACCATTCGAATAGGTGACGCACAAATAAGTAGTTTGCAGCGTACAATGTTGACATTGAACGAATGAACGTGGTAGCCTCCATTGACGCTCTCGAACCTGTTGCGTGCGATTCAACGAAAATACACAAGGATCGCCGGTTAGGGTAAATTGGTCTAATTGCATTGACAGTGCAAAATGTCGGTCGGTTATAATGTGATATTCGAGTGAGGCTGCGTTTAATTCACCGTGAGAGGGAGGATGAGGAGAGCGTTCACAAAGAGATGTTGGCCTCTGTCGATGAGTAATTCTTTCGACTGACTGGGTGTGTCCTCTGGCAATGATCGTCATTGCCGTTTGCATCCAATCTCATCCGCAAGTAGTACAACGTTCAAAGGTTGTTCCTTGTCGCTCGATTAGCGATCGATCATTTTCCATGATTCTCGTCAGAAAAGTCGAAGAAAATATGATGATTTAATTTAGTCATGAGAAAATAAAATGAACGTTCTGTACAATTTTCTAAATGTTTTTAATTTTTTGATGAATCGTAAAATCTTATAGAAAATGTAAGATTATAATTATAAAACGAACTTCCTGAATCGTAAATCAAACAAAGTACAGGGATCTCCTAACGGTCTGGATTTCGAGCGTCCTTTATTTCCCTTCATGGGAACCAAGGACTCGATCCTTTGTGAAGGACACCGGTTAAACTTTCCATCTAACCTGGCTGCTTATTTTAAATCCTGAACCCAACCGAAGAATACGTTATAAAATTTCGTTTGTAACCCCTAATTAAACTAAGGAATAAATTAAAATTACAGTTAAGATAATATAATTATAACATGCGAGAGGTCATAAAATTGAGCATTGTTCCCGATGTTTCTCTTCAATTATACGTGCCCATTCATTCTACACGCTCTATTGATCGCTAAACATTTAAAAAATCTTACCACTGGTGCCTGAGTTGGATTTTTTCATATCCGATGCTTATTCAAATAATTGCTTCTACTTTCAAATTCTTAAAAATTTTTAATCAAACCATTTGCATCGCCATAAAAATAGAAGCAATTTTTAACATATACAGAGACATCTCGCGTCTAAATGGAAAAACACGCGGGATATTATATATCCATATCTCGCGATGAGACGCCAAAGGGCTAACCTCTCAACGCCTCAAGTGCACATATTTTACATACCAAACATCCGTTTTATAAAAGATTTCCCATACCGTATCTACGCATCAATTATACGATGGAATATCTATTGTATCTGTACAAACTCCCCTTATTCTTTACCCCTACAGAATTTCGTATAATCCACTCGTCGAAAGTTTTTAATATTCGAAAACACATAACCTAAAACGTAATATATATATATATATATATAGAAATTCCAAATAGCCTAAAGTCGACTCGGGGAAAAAAAGGGGGTTCGAATCATCGTCGCTTTGTGTGCGTCCTTCATCGTCCAAGAGGCGGTTTAACGGTCAACGCACCAAGGTGCCCTTCATTTCACGCAACAGTCCCTACGGTGTTGGTCGGTTGGCCAGGTACAGCATTCCACCAGTTGCGCACATTCGGTAGGGCCTTCCTTGCGCGCGCATACACACACACGCGCGCGATCAAGGATCGTCTCGCGTTACGCACACGTTCACGCGCATGGAGCAGAATGCGGTGCAGTAAACACACGGGGAGACGAGAGGCCGACACTGGGGCACCATGAAGGGGATATTCACGGGTGTGTGCATTCGTTAGTGCGGGCTCGCGCGCGCGCCAGTGACTCATGGTTTCATGAATGGAAGCCTTTCGTCTTCTAGTCCTCGCATATACGGTGAATGGTCCACCGGAAACGGCTGGTTACACCCTGTTTCCGTTACACCAAACTACGCCGCGTTGACGAGGGAAAAACGGGCGAGCGTGCCACGATCACGAGCCTCGTTCGGGGCAATTTTGCATCCTTCGGTTCCTGCGGATGGGGCAAGCTTTTCGAAGCTGTATTAAAATAAAATACGAAACGTGTTTATTTGTTGTCGAAGATTATTGGATAATGTTATTGGTGAATGATTAACGAAGCGGTTATTCGGAAGTAGTAGCAAGTAGATTTATGAAACTTTTGAATTTTCGAAAATTGAGAAAAAAATTGAGAAAAATAAATATGATGTGTTAAACGAGTAGAAGGTTATATTTATCATCATACATTCATCGTGCGCAGTTAGAATTCCGTAAACGTTTAATCTCATAGAATTGCGCAGGAAGCAGTTGTAATTCGCTTCGTTCACGGAACATGATACCACCGCCGTTAATTTTAACCGTTCAGAGAACGGAGCGTTTTAAGCAAGAAAGAAAATAGAACGAAAATAAAAAGGCAACAAGTAACGCCGTATTTCCCGGAACACGGTATCATTTTCGACATCGCGGCCGACAGGTGTCCAGACTTTCGGTGTACACATGCGCCTTCTGTTACCAAAATACGCCCCCCCCCTCCCCTCTCCCCTCCCTACTTCATAACTTCCTTCTCCAACCTTTTTCCCCTTTCTTTCTTCTCAATTTTAATTCAACAGTCTCAACTCTTTCGTCTCTTCCTTCCACCCTTCGCAGCTCTAATTTTCTTCCTCTCGACCTCCCCCCTCCCCCCTCCTCCCTCCTGTTGGACTCTCATTTTTCTCCCTTTATCTATAACTCTCCCTTCTCACAATCCCCCCTCCTCTCTTCCCCAACAATTTTCTCCCGCTTTCTCCGTCTCCGTCCGACCATTCGTCACCCGTGACTCATAGCAGATGCCAGCTCGCGAGTCCACAACACGCTGCAGGCGTGTACGCGTAACGTTTAGGGGCCGATGCACCCCTCCCCTCCCCCAATGTCTCGACTAACGTTTACCCAAACTACTTCTATTACGTGACCCCCCTCAATTCGTGGCCAGATAAGATTAGTCGCGCTGCTTATCGCCGTTTTAGCGCGGATTAGCGATTAATCGACGCCTTCGGGGTACGTGTTTTGTAGGGTGTTTCAAGCGAAACAACACCTATCCCTTTGTGCCGCCTGTCTCTGGTAATTTGTTCTGGTGCACGATGGTAAATTAACGTGTACGTGAAGTTGGTATTAGACCAATTGATTGAAATGAAGTGAAGAGAAAGGGAACAGTGGATTTCTACTCGTTAATGCTAAATGTAATTATTTCACGCTGTAAAGTGTTAATGTATTCGTATGATCTTTTAGAGGTCAATTTTAAAAGCATGAAAATTAGTATACAAAAATGTCAGTCTATGCTTATTTGTAATTATTATATAAGCAAATTAAGTTAGATGAAGCGATATATGACAGAGATAGAGCTGATCTCGCTTCATCTGATACGAAGTTAAGCTGTTTATAACTTGATAAATATTTACTCGATTTTTACTTTTTTTTTTTTTTTTTTTTTTGCTTATTTTCGCTTTTAGAATTTATTCTTCAAAGTTATTAACACGAATGTATTAACACCTTGCGTATAATTCTTCAATCATGTCGATATTATCGTGACAAAGATTCTTTATAAAACGATCTTCGATTCGTTTAATAATTCTCAATTCCTTTTGTTCCATAGATGTCGTGAAATCTGCATGCGTGTGCACTTGCATCGGCTTTCATGTCCCCTCTCTTTTCTACGTCAAATCGAGTACAAGTAACGTCGCATAAGATACGGGCCCGTGTCGCCATGACTCATTGGCGATACGATAGCCTTCCCTATATTACGTAATCGAATCGCCTGTTTGGCGGCTGGTTTCGTTTTGCTGTTTTACAGCACGATCTCGGCTGTCATTCGGCCGAGTTGCACGGGCCTCCGATGGATTATTGCTCTTAAATCGACTTCTAGAAATTCAAATGATGTAGAAAATCTTAGTTCCTTCGGTTTCTAGATCCATTTCTCTCTTTCACGCAGTTCGAATTTCATTGAGTACTAAAGTAGATGGATAAAATTGTGGAATAGATCTGTCTTTTTTAAAAAACAAATTAAAGATAATATTTAAGAAAGAGAAAGGTTTAATAAGCATGTTATCGATACGAAAAGAAAAATTAAATACATAGTATATCCATTTATCTATGTCGTTGTCAGAGGACAAACATAAGTTCGTATAATAAGAGTTCATGGTCAGATAAGTAGATTCAATCGACATTGGAATTTAGTTCCAATGAGGCCACTAACAAAAATTTCGTTCCAATAAATATAAACGATACAAAATGTTTTAAAATATATAACGTTGTCCGATACATACATCCTAATATGTATATACACCCAAGATTGAATTTTTATTTCGAAATATGAAAACGATAAAATTATAACCTTTTAACCTCTTTAATAAAAGTAATTAATAACAATCTTTTCTTTTTATACAGAGGAAGCCCGAAAAGCCGGAAGCAGCGTGTTAGTGCATTGTCAAGCGGGAGTATCGCGCAGTGCGACAATCGCAATCGCGTATATAATGCGACACAAGGGCCTGTCCATGGTGGAGGCCTACAAATTGGTGAAGAACGCGCGACCTATTATCAGTCCTAATCTCAACTTCATGGGACAATTGTTAGAGCTCGAGCAAGGTTTAAGGGCATCAGGTGGCGTGACGGCTGCCCCCGAGGAGCCAAAAAGCTGTCACCAATGTCGCTGGTCTCATCAGCAAAATAGCGAGGAAGTTACTTCCGGTTGCAGCGTCTGAGTCGAGCGAAATCACCAGGCGAGGATCACCCGATTCTCTCGGATGACAATCGGGTTCCAGCAGAAGATCGAAAAGAAAAGAGCAGAAGAGCCCACGCGCGGTTCGCAAGGCTGTCTCGATGTTTCGTGTCCAAGGACGCGATCGAAAGACACAATCTACACATATCCTACACGTATATTATCCATTAAACGAACCGAAGTCGTCGTTCTTCCTGTTTCATACACAAAACACACACAGCATACACACGTGCGAAGAACTCGAATAACATAACCTTGCTACACGTGCCTTGGCGATCGGCCCTAGTAAACGGGAAAGGCTGATTTACAGAGAGACACTTTTATTTCTATTCTATCGAATAACTTATTCAGTGGTAAAGAACGTTCTGAGTGAGAGAGAACGCGTCGTTGACTTGTGAATAACGAAGAAAGAGATGCAAATGCGGATAAGTCGTAACATATGTGCATCCTCCATCTTGGAACTTCGAAAACCAACAGGATGATGGCGCCTGTTAACACTTGAGTGCGCATGAATTTCTTCCTGTGTACATACAACGACGCGAGCTCCTCTCTATGTTGCGAATTATTTATGCGTTCAAAGGAGAGGGGAAAAAAGAGGGACGCGGCGCTAGTTACGGAAGCTTCGTGCAATCGTCATGAAGAAAGGTTTGGTGTACTTACGCGACAGTGTTCCGTAGTTTTATTAGTACAAAATATAACGTGGTAAGAGGCGCGTATGTTCGAAGGAAATTATAAATTATTTTTTTTTTTTTTTTTTTTGTTTTCTTGCGTAGTAAGTTACAGTAGAGAGAGTATGTATATTTGATTTTAACATGATGATACACGGTGTTCCACTTTTCTTGAAAAGATCTACGCGTTTGTAATTTAGAAAGTGAATTTTATTCGTTTAATTTTTGTTCTTTTTATATGTGTATATTTTTTTTTTTTAAGTGTCAAGCGTCCACGTCTAATTTGGCCACAATTTTTTTCTTTCGAGTGAGTTGAATACTATCGATTAATTATCTTGTATTTAGGGACACTGCTTCTTCGAAACCGTCGTTGCGAACAAAGAAGCATCGAATAAGAATATAGAAGTGAATAATTGCACTTGAGGAAGTCTTGCGAAATTTTTTTTTTCTTTTTGCCATCTAAAGGCGCGCGCGCAAGTGGACAGTTACAAGGTGGGATAAATGTACGTCAATTGAGATCAATAATAATTATGTTTGCGTTTTTGCCTTTTGCCTATTTGTATCTCTATATTCGTAATGTTACATTATTCGATAGCGAAGTGGTATATATTTGATAAAATAATATATCATTAACTGGAATTAGCTTAACCACGAGCTCCGTAGCATTTAAGGATCTGGTTGAGATCCAACCATCGTGATCTAGTCGTTTGTTGGAATGTAACTGATAATGATGTTGACGATATGTAAGGTATGAAAGAGAGAACGAAAGAGAGAGTTCAAATACCCCCGCCAACTAATTAGAATAATTAGTAAAAGCTATAACTCGAGGGACGAAAATATTTCGATTTTAAAAATTAAGATGCCAAACACGGATTTTTAGTTCAACGGATTCAACGAGTTTCAAACTTCGGGGGTTAAAGTCGTGTGTAATAGCCAAAATTATTATCATCTTTCGATCTTGAAGTGTACATAAACAATAAATATTATCTCACGGGGAAAAATATAACCATGAATTAATATTTTAAACCAGTTCTGATCAGTTTAATGAACATCTTTGTATCGCAAGAAAATTGTCTCCATTGATCCTTTATTCGAATTAAATCGCTTGCACGATACAAATATGATTGCGAATGTAAAACCTAACCTTGTCACTCTGTTTATGTCTGTTATTCTTTCGCAATGTTTCACTGATAATAATCCGAATAATGAGGAAAATAATGTGAATATGATTTATCTCGTTTCATATTCATGTTGTACAAAATATGATCGTTCGATTATTTTTCATCTAATCGGCTCGTTTTCAAAATTCTTTGATATCGATGTGCGTGCGGTCTCAGACGAATTGTGCCGCACGAAGGGAAATTTTTCGATTAAGAATTTGATCTGTTAGCGTTAGAAGTATTATGGAAATAGAAAAGTGTCTTTTCCTCGCGTGGCACGATTCATTCGTAACGCGTGTATATCTAGCTTTTTTAATCGCTTCTATCTTAAACCGCAATGGATGATTCTTATTCGTAATCGAGAAACAACGAGTGTAATCGTCATAAATGGAAAAAGAAAAAAAAAAAAAGAATCGTGCACGTAGTTCGCTTCGAATATCGTCGAAATACCTCGAGCAACGGCCTAAATGGGACGTTGATTAAACGTAAAGATGAATAAAAAATAAACAAAAACGTGTGCGAAATAACTGTACGACACGACAATCGCCGCTGTTAAATCAAACCGAGCAGCTGTTCAAAAAAAAAAAAAAGGAAGAAAAAAGTCGCTTAAACCGATATGCCTTTCTACGTTAGAGAGACTCAAACTGTTGACAATAAAAGCTCGACAAGAGAAAAAGAGACCTGGTGTGCGTGAAAGAAATATAGATCACGTCATGCATACATGTTCACGTTATATCTATATGTGTGTGCGTGTGCGCGCGCGTATGTGTGTGTGTATGTGTGTGTGTGTGTGTGTACAACATAACGAGACAGAGAGCAAGTTCCTTCAGATTCTTCAATTCTCTCGAGGAAACGGTACATATCAAAGAGATGTCGCCTTCTTATTTTTTTTCTTTTTTTTTTTTTTGTTTCTTGTAGATCGCGAAGAATGTCACATTTGAAGGGAACAATTTATGTTCGCATATTCTCCTATATAATAGTTGGGCCGTGACGCTTCGCGTAGACCTTGTAAAAAGTGTTAGCGAATAGTGTTGTAAATATTCAGCGTGCAAAGACAGGCGATCACGAATAGAATCGCGTGAAACGAGAAGGGAGGGAGGGGGGTGGGGGAGAAAAAAGGAAAGAAACCGATCGTGTAATAAATGAAAAAGAGAACTATATTCGATAGAAATAAAAGGGCAGAGAGCTACGAACCTGTAGTACCTGTTGCGTCACGAGGATGTACGATATGTATGTAGTGTTTACCGAGTTGTGGAAGAGCTTTAACAATAAAATGTATATCGACCTGTACGATAAACGATTGTCGTTGCCGTATAACGATAAAAATAGCATTTGGTGTAATTTTGTATTGGAACTGGTAAAAGCAGAATCATAAGATTGGTAAATGGTTGTATCGCATTGCGATTGTCCATTGCACGCGAAAATAACCTGAAAGATGAAACTACTACTAAACGCCATGTGGTCCAATAAGTTCCTAAGATCATCTTACCGTTCGAATTTTGAATGATGCTTTGACCAATTCTATTTTATATTAATCTTCTAAATTACTTAATGATGTATATCATAGTTCGATGTATACCTTTATTGCTAATGTCTTTCTACATTGGTATGCACACGTTAAAGTTTGCGTATTATCACATCTTGGGATGGGGTAGATGCTGCACCAAGTTGGTCGACAATTTTTTTTTTTTTTTGCGGAAACGTTGCCGTACGATCGAATACCTTTTTCGTTTTTCAATGTACAGTTAAATGTAACGTAAAGTAATTGTGCATACGCGAGGACAACTATTGTATCATATCAAAATTTAGTTATTTTATGAATAAAAGTATAAACCGTATATTTTTTTTTGCTCAATTCTTTTTTTTTCTTCTAATAATCACAATATCTTGTTTATTATTTATCTTGTCTTTTGTGAAATTCAAATGATAGAAATAATATAACGCATGAGTGTCATATTTTATTAAATTCAAAAATAAAGGAAAAGAAAGAATTTCATATCATAGATGAAATTTCAAAGAATAATTTTTGAATATATGAAATTAGATGTGTACAAGATATATATTTTTATATATATTGATATGATATAATTTATTAAAATTTTTAATCAATTAGATTAAGTAAAAAATTCAATAAAGTTAATTAGAAATCAGGATTGCCTCTTGAATATATTTTGTTATGGACAAGAAAAGGACAGAGATATAATAAAAATATTGAAATCAGCGCCATCTTCAGAGTGGCGCAAATGAAATTCATAAAAAAAGAAGAATTGATTTTAAGTGCCATCTTTTGAACATTTAAAACATTTCTTTAAAATAGATAGAATAAGAATTGATAATCAATCCCATCTCTTGAGTGCTTTTAGAATCATAAATAATATTTTTGGTATTCCAGAGATGGCGCTCATTGTTCATTTTTTAGTTTATCTCTTCTTTTTCTTCACTATAAGTTTCATTCTGAAGATGGCGGTGATTTCAATATTTTTATCCTTTCTGCTTACTTTTTATTTACATTCGCTCTTGGTGCATAACTATTTGACCACGGACAAAGTACGAGATATCAATTGAAAATCTTTTTTTTTTTGAACTATGTGTTTTAATCTTTATTGTAAAAAAATACTGAAATTATATCGGTTTTACAAGAAAAACAAGAATAAATACAAATGCAATTATTAGGAAAATCTTTATTTAGACAGAAAATATCGAATTTTGAATATAATAAAGTTTCCAAATTTTCACGATAGAATCGGTTAATTTTCTTAGACCGAGCATTCTTTTTTATATATTTTTTTCAAGAAGGAATCAAAATGATCCAACTTCTGAAATAATTCAATATGGCCGCGAAACACGCATACGATAAACTTAATAAGCAAACACATTCTTTTCGCGTTCTCTTCTTCATTATTCAATACGTCATTTTGACGGATAAAATATGATTGTGCATACGTAAATACAAATTCGATTTATTACTTTCTCTCGGTATTGTTCGCTCATAATGTATTCGCATTCTCAGTCTCCTGCTTTCTAAATATTATACGTTTCGCTGTAAGTAAATATTAAGTTGTCATAGTATAATTAGTAGTAATAGTAATAGTAATAGTAATAATAATTTTAGGGGTCATTTCTTACTTCTTCTATGATATACCCCTGTTCTTTACATTTCATTCTGTTCATAGCTGAAAATGCAAAAAATCTCGTTTGCTTAAATTAAATGCATAGGTAATCGATATGGAATTTCTAGTTTTGTGCCATCCTATTCATACGTTCTGCACAGATCCTGTTTAATTTTATAGTGATTTTTATTACGTCTTTGTTGTATTAATATTATGCCAATATAATTGCGCGATGAAGCAAAATTTTTTTTATAGGTAAAAAGTCTTACATGGAGTAACGTATGTTACCATCCATTTGAGTATAAAACAGATAACGTACAATACAAGTTACAATAAATACTATGCAAAGACTCGATCCGAGTCTTAGATATTTTTTCAGGCATAAAATTTCCAATATTTACTTTACACATTCTCTGGTCTAACAACAATGACATAACAAATTGGAGCACCTCTTATTCCATTACGTTATTTTATATCGCGAAAAGACATATTTGCTCGAACTTATCGCTCGAGATTAGATATCGACTCTATGCGAACGCGTAAAAAAATTGATTATATCTTTCTGTTAAGAAAGAAATATTCGCATAAATGAAGCTCTACAAGTGAAGCGGATAAAATATAATTACTTGTTCGTATTCAACGATCTATTGCTTATTGCAAAAAAAAACATTATTATAGAAATCGAGAGCCGATTGTATATTTATACTGCGTAACTTACCCTGATTCTTTTGCAGCATAAATTATTAACAAATAACTTTTAAAATCGCTTCGCTATCTTCTCGGCTATTATTAACAAGAAAATTCACAATTACTTACAAACTATTAGTATATATGTATATATAGCTTTTTTAACCGTTGATTCGCAATTTCTAGAAATAATCAAACGGTCATAGGATTGATAAATCGGACTGTCTCGCGGATTGGAAAATTAATTACTCGCCAGGGCTGCCATCGCACGAATTAACGCAGCATTTTCCTCCCGAAGTCGTTCCCGTTCTATAGTCATTTCATGTTGTTGTTGAAGTAACCGAGCTTCGAGAGCCATTATCTTATGATCTCGATCTTCTAAAAGAGACAACAGTCTCCTATTTTCTTCTTGGGCTCGTTCTATCAACTGAAAATTTTGAAACGAAAATGATGAGTTTACAAGTTGTTTCACTTTATTTGTTAAATTAAATAATAAGTAAAAAAAAAAAAATACTTCGTGTGGGTTGTCTCCTGTTGGAGTAGACAGTCTTGGTTGATTTGTAGCATTTACAGAAGTTTGTGGTTCATGATTTCCATGATCTGATTGATTGACACTGTCAGATTGATTCAAGGAATCGAATTCCTCGTCGTCTGCCTCCAAATCGGAATGGCTAAAATTAAATGGGTAATTTTGATATATTAGTGAATGTACATAGTTATTCCAATTCGGACTGCCTATGATGTTATATTAGGCACGACCTTTAATGTTTAATGATATTTATATATCGTTTTTTATATCCTATATTTATTTCAAAATAATTTACGCTTTAGTGTAATATGAGATATGATTATGAGATCAATATGATATTACACGATTCTTATTGGTTCTAGATCATTATAAAAAAGGTGTACAAAAGACTTACGGTACTCGTTACAATACGCAGGCTCGTATTTAAAAGAATCTACTAGCTCTACCGTACTTCGTACAGGTCGTGCCTAATTGTACATAGTCACGTACAGTAGCACTTACCAACTGTGCCTATTTATACATGACCTGTAGGAAGTACGGTAATGCCTAAAAAGCAGTAGCAGTTTATTACAAATGACTACTAAATTTCACTAAAGCACTATATATAATTTACTACCGTAATAAGATATCTCAGTGTTTTATACCTTTTGTTTCGCCTTTGTGTAAACATTTTTGCTGTCCGTTCCTGAAACATGCGTAGTTACACATACATACATAATTTCTCTGTTACATACAATCGACTTTTAACCGCGTTCACAATAAGTAACAGAATATTTTTTATTAAAAAATGAAAATCACACGCACTTACTTCTATGAGTTCATGATCAAGGAACTCATTGTGATGTGTGTTGTGTTTAGTTTCAAGACAAGTGCCACTAAGATCTTCCTCATCTTCTCCTGTACTACCTCCTGTACTCTGTAGAATTAAGTGGCTAACGAAATTACATTGCGGAGTAACAACGGGTTCGCACACAAAACTTTTACCAATATCCGTTAACACTTGCGGTCAATCGCGATTAACGTTTAAAAGAGCGCGGAAAGCAGTTTCTAAGTGCAATGCTACTTTCTTATACATTCTGTGTGTGTCTAATACAATTTTCTAGAAAGATACATTCGCGCAAGACATTTCCGAGAGAAATCGAAAACATTATATATATATGTTTGGATGGAAAAAAAAAAAAGATTCTTTTATAAACGAACAAAAATCTTAAATATCGATTAAAAATAACTGATTAAAGAACTTTTTTCGTAACGAATATAAGTAAAAAATCTCTAAATTTATCATGCAAAATACAAGATGATTAAAAGATTTATATCGAATAAATATAGATGCAAAAATCCTTATTTTAAAATCCGACATATTGCCGCGAGGATCATTAAGATTTTAGGTCCTTAACGTGACTGGAAACAGTGACAAACCTCCGTTGATGGTAAATGTACTACTCCGGTACTTCGCCTCTTTTCTCGAAGCTTCCGTCGATCGCGTTGCTGCTTTCCCTTGTTTATGTGCGTTGGCCTATGCAAACAGGATACGACACTAAAGACACTAGAACCAGATCCAGAAAGTGTTAACAAGTCGCGCAAACTCTATGCTGGAAATTCTACTTAGTAGAATTTACAAGATACTTGCATTTAACAAAATTCCCATCTACGCGGATACCTTATTTAAACGTCGTTTTATTTACTTACCGGCCAGGTACCCGTTTATCCTGTTTCCTCATTATTGGTTTATTTTGTTGATTTTCATGTTCAGGTGGAAGCACACTATTCGAACTTGTATCACATATACCTTGAGATTCTTCTGTATTTTGTGCATTCTCTACAAGTGATTATAACTGATTATAAAATATCATGTATAATAAAGAAAAAAACAATAGGAACATATTATTACTTTGAAAATTTATGGAAGAAGAATCTCCTGTCCTAGGTGGAACAACTCGTGCTCTTGCAGTCCTGATCCTAGATCTTCTAGATGTTAATTCGAAGTCATTATCAAAATCCTCCTGGCTAACGGAGCTGGATGCCATGCCTGTTATATCGCTGTAAAATGATATGATAAAATTGAATTTAATTTGATAAAAACGAGGCAGATAAAAAATTGTGCAAAAAAAAAAAAAATTTAAAAAGGGCTCTTACAAAAAATACCTGGACATCTGAACAAAAGAGTAGGTGATGATGTGCGATACCTATGTTGGACCAGCACAAAACTTGGAGGCCAAAAAGCGAGTGCTTGATTAGGTTTGTCTAAGGGAAAGTCATAAGGCATGAACCGCTTTTAACTACAGCAAGTGCGTGCGCAATAAGACGATAACAAAACTTCAACAGAAAAGAAAGAGTAATTCTTAAAGGATTAGTCACCTGTCGAAGTGAGTATTCTTCACCTAGTTCCACTGCCAATGCTGTGACTCACTACCAACTTATGTGCGATTGACAGCTGTCAACCATTGAAACATCCATAAACACGTATGGCCTATACGATTACATAGTTCAAAGATAGATAGGCATATCGATCGTTCATACACTTTGTCTAAAGTACAATCTTCAATGCGTAATTTCAATGTCACTAGAGAAATGGTCACAACATGAAAAGTCACTAGGCAAATCCAGAGAAAGTTACTATAACGGTGATGATTCAAAAATAAAAGTCACTATAAAAAGAATATAAAAGTTAAGAATTATAAAAAATAAGAATACAATACATGATAAGATTTTATTTAGCTCAGAAGAAAAACTTTTTTTTCTTCAAAATAATTTGAGAATTTTCACAAAATTGAGAAAAAATAAATTGTTTTAATTTATACTTCGTATTAAAATGAAAAAAATAAATTGTAAAATAAGAAATTTTAAAAAAATAATGACGATTAGGAATAGGAAATTTATTTTATTTAATATGTTTTAACTTATAAAAATTTAAATTAAAAGAAAGGAAATAATTCAAAGAATATGATTTATAGAAAATATTATTAACACTGGTATTAATAGGTGTATCGTTTATTTATTTAATCGATCTGATCGCAGATATAGTTTCTTCATTCATTATACTTCATCTTTTTTTCATAAGTTAATTACAAGTATTCATCGTCATCTATAATCTAGAAAGGTATAGGGATAAAGTTATAGGTAATTTTTTTCACAGTATTGACTCTATTACATACGCTAATCAGATAGCTAAAGTGTTCGTATCTACAAATATATCTTATATTTGTTTTTATATACATATACATATATACACATATATATAGAATTTGTATATGTGCATATCTATATATACATATATTCGCTTTATAACACATCTTCCCGTAATTTCTTTTCCTTTTTTATATTTACTCATTTGACATTTGCTCTTCAACAATTAACTTTCATATACGGGAAGTATATATCGCTTGTTTTCTTACGTTCCATATTTTTTTTTTTTATTTTGTTTATGTTTGTTTTTTCATTTTTTGTAACTCGAACTCTAAAGTTATGTATGTATGTATGTATGTATGTATGTATGTATGTGTATGTGTGTATGTTGTGTATGTAAGGAGATAAAATTAAATGGTATCGCCACGAGCGAGGGTAGATCTCGGTTTTTTTTTTAAAGAGGTGGCTAGACTCGGTGTATTTTTTTTTTCTTTTTTTTTTTTAACGAGATATTAAGGTTTAAAAGTGTATACGTATGTATATAGTATTTGACGCTTGATTTGACACATATGATTGAGGTCTCGAGCAAGTTTCTCTGCTGCTTAGCTCGCATCTCACAGCCTAGAGGTGATTTAAACCAGATGCGGAGTCCGTTCATAACGGGCCGCATCGCTACAACGACACACGATAAATCCCCGACAAATGCCAAGCTCGTATATATAATATATATATTTATATATTTTTTTTCATATATATATATAATATATATATTTTTCCTTTTCATTAATATTCTCTTTCTCTTCTTACGCCTATGTAATGTGTATGTATGTTTATGTCCATATGGTCAATTGTGCATTTTTCAAGTAAATATGACATAGTAAAATATTAAAGCGGCAGCAGAATACACTGCAATACTGTTTGACCTATGAAAAAGATGTTTCTCTTCATTTGTTTCTTTTTTATTTTTTTAATGTTTATTTAAACCTCTCTCTTTTAAATTCTTTCCAATCATTTTTGTCATATTTTTTCCTCTTCTTTCTATTTATCTATGTACAACACATTTAACATTTTATCATCTTTCTTTATAATTCTCTTCTTTCTTCTCTTATTATTCTTCTCTGACTTCCACTCTTCACCTTTCCGATAAACTTTTCTCATAGTCAACATGTCTCGTATAAACTATGCAGTGCCGATGCCTATCAAATAGGCAAGTACACATAAAATATATGGTAATCGACAAGTGAGTAACATATTAAAATTAGAAAGTACATGTCGCAACATGGTGGACGATAGATAGAGACAGAAGAAGCATCTCGCGAACCTACACATTTTTTTTCTTGTCCCAGCCTTGGACTTTGATTCGTCTTTTTGTCTCTTTTTCTTCGTCGTAATCGTTGCAAACAATGGTAATCCAACCGTTTCTTTCATTTCGTATTTACTTGGTTCAACGCGTGATGGCGATGAGGTAGATAAAGAAATGTCTTCCACTTTTTCACGCGACATTTTCAAACAATTTGACTATTTTTATTTATTAAATATATTCTTCTTCGAATCTTTGGTAAGTTTTATATATAGGCAGCAATTTTGATTTCTCGGTTAATTTTTATTTTTGATGATTAATATCTTTACTTGCGTACAAAGTGTTTCAAAAATTAATTTGTATAAAATAATTTGTCAAAATAATCAAAAAATTATTTTTCTGTTGTAAAAAATAATCTCACTTTCACTGGTGACTTTATGATTACAATGGATTATATTAATGATACAGATAGGATGCATTTTTAAATCATAATCATAAAATTAAGTACATTGTTCATACTAATAAAAAATTCTTACAATATAATACTCTCGCTTTTCATTCAATTTCAATTATGAATAAAAAACTTAACCTAATCTTTTTGAAACACTTTGTATAGTGTTTAAACGTAACGAACGAAGAAAAGAATCGTCGTATAAGTTCCATACATATAGTGACCAACTAAGTACACATAGCGAAGGTTCGTCGAGTGCTCAACTTTTTTTTTGTTCCGATAAATTTCATCTAGAACCGCGATTCGTTCGCAGCTTTCGATTAAGTAGACACAGTAAATCGAGTATAGTAAAAGTTACTCGTTCTAACATGATTATATTCCACTTTTTTTTTTTTTTTTTCTCTTAAAAAGATTTTTGTTCGTCAACTTTTTCTTTCTTCCATTTTGTAGATAAACTATACGTCATGTATATATAAGTATATTTATATGTATATATGTATTAAATAGTGCCTATCTAAAAATGAGGCACGGCCAAAGAAATGGCCGTGTATGAAACGTGACATGCACACGACACTTAAATGCGACCGATTACAACGCTACACACTATCCTTCGATGAAAGTCAGTTAAGGATTCTCGCGAAAAATGTGACGTAATTTTTTTCTTGTTGTTTTTTTTTTTTTCTTTTTTTTTTTGGCATTCACCGTTTGTTCTGTAACTCTACGCAGATGATTATTTTTTTTTTTTAATGGCTATTGCCATTATGGTTAGACGAGAGTAACGCGAACGCGTTCCTTTTATTATAAACTTATCAGAGTGGTGAATCGAACCGGTAGGCCTTGGACAGTATAAACGCGAACCTAGACGAAGGTTTCGACTCACAAGAGAATCGAGAAATACAATGGAAAGAACGAACTTCAGTCCTGTAGGAGATGCGTGGATTCTCGCCGTGTTTCCTTTGTTCGTCGTTCGCGGCGCTAGTTGGAAGTAAACGCTACGGCTTGAACCTTTATGGGGACGCAATGTCGAGGCGTCTGAGAATTTTTAGACTTCGTATAGTGGAATATATACTTATATATATTATATATTTGTATATATAAAACGATGAATGAAAAGAGAAATTTCTTTCACATTGATGCTCTGTGCGTACTTGTGGTAGCAATTAGTTGCTAACGTTTTAAATTATATCGATGCATTAATAGATCCATTTCATCATACAGTTTGGATTCTAATGCTATCAATCTCTGGTGTTATACATCGATCATCTACATTAATGTCTCAAGACTTTCGCGATATTATTTTTTTTTTTTTTTTTTTTGTAAATACATTAAGAAACTCGAACTCTATGGTTAGTTTTCTACTATTGCTAATTCCTCGTTTTATATCGATACGAAGAATGCGAATTAGTAACTCGAAAAAGATTTTCGCGGTATATATAATATATATACTTTCCTTAGGACATTTAGCGTTAGAATCATTTAATTGTAAGTAGATCTATGTTTCATAGCGATGCAGTGATACGGATTCGTAATTTTAAGTAAACCGTGAACTTGTATTGCTATTAGAATCCTGATATTGTATCGATGTTAAGTGATATAAATTAGTAATTTCAAGAATACCTTAGCACTATTCTCTGTTTTTAATCGAAAGTCTAAATCTTTTCTTTCTGCATCGATCTTATTAACCGTCAATCATCGCGCACAATCCTAAACAACAATTTCAAGAATATTTTCTTTTTTCTTTTGGCAGTGACGTATTTTTCTATACGTCGATAATTTTCTACTATCTTTTTTTTTTTTTTTTTTGTTTTTCTTTTTCGGAAATTTTGCGTCTTTAATTGCACGATAATATATATTTAGTTTCACAAATTTAAGGAATACCAAAAAAAAAAAGGGAACTCGCCTCATTCTCCATCTTACAGACATATTTCCAATGCTGCGTCCGCATAAAACCGTTCAACGCTGCCAACGTTCGCCCTAACTTCCGCCACGTAGACAGTGCGCACGATCCAATCGCGCACGCGCATGCGTCTTCATTCGTCGGCGTACTTCACCGCGCTATCCTAGGCTACCCTAAGTTCACCTATAAGCAATAGAATTATACATACCTATTATACTCTCTATAACGATAATGTATGTAGAAAAATGAGCCTCTCGCGTCTTTGGTTAAACGCGAAGCATTTAGAAAGTATTCTGGCAGTGGTTTTCGTAGATGCTTCGATCTTAGCCTCGGACCAAAAATTTTGATTTCAGTTTCAAATTGGAATACAATCGTCGGAATCTTAAATGAATTTCTTTCTCTCTCTCTCTCTCTCTTTTTATTCTCGGGACGTAACAATCTTTTGTTTGATTCGACTATTTGTATTTCTCTTTCGATTCTTACTCTTTCTGTTAATCCCAGATCGAAACTCTATCTCTGCGACGTAATTCTGTTTTTCTCTGTCTTTTCTTATTATTTCAAACACTTATTTTTGAGAATCCGATTGTATAATGACAAGGTCGAAGTATGCTCTGTGTGCAGTCCTCTGTGCTAACTGTCTGTCGCACGTGTAACACGTGTGACACGAATAAAAACCACTTTTTAAGTATATATATATTTTTTTTTTTTTTTATATAGTCTCTAGCCTCATCGAGGGAAGGGACGAGTAAAATAAGATAGATCCTATGTATCCTAGTTTACGCGTGAAATTCATTCGAAGGAAAATCATTTTATCCTTTGGCATGTCACTTTTGGCCTTCTCGTCCAGAGTCAGCTTTTTTCTCCCTCTTCTTTATTCTTTCCTTTAACTAATATTCTCGATCCGGGCACTCGTCGGTACCCCGATTTTATCCGCGATAAAATAGCGTCGTTGATCGTCATTCGATACTCTTCTTCCGGTAACCGGTTGTACTGTGTGTGTATGTGTATGAATGTGTGTTCACAACGCGCAACGCAAGTGACTGCTCAGACAATGGCACAAGAGCAACGTGTTCCGTAGGGTGAAGTCGTTTAGGTCTTTCAAAAGTAAACTAGATTTCCGCTGTCGCGAGGCGATTAATTCATTTACAGCAGGTCTAGTTCACGAATAGATAGTGATCACCTCCCGTCCGCCACCACGTACCATCAACACCCTCTCAAGACCCTCGGTGAGAACCTCTAGAAATTCCATATCTGTGGCGCGTTTAAGGTCAAGGAAATTAAAAGAAAGATCAAACAAATAATAGATTTAAGAAATTACAGTTTGAATAATGTGACAGAATAAGGACAGAAAGGATACAATTTGATTCACGTTCTAGTTTGGTGTCTCTTGGTGGTCCAGGTAGATTGAGTATGACTAACTGAGCATTTTTGCTCTTCTTCACGATCACTTCGTTCAACTTGATGGAAGTGTGCATACGTCTTACGTTACCTTCATCCCTACAAAAAATCATCAAGCATAAGTTTAATAATTTTTTTCAATAATCGAGAAAATGATACGGTAATATCATATTAAATTACGCACGGTGTTATCGTAGGTTTCTTAGACTCCGGGCTATCAGTTTTCTTCTCCTCGTTCTCTTTCGCTTCCTTCTCCGTATTCTCCTTATTCTCCTGTTTCGGTGACCCGCCAATCAATTTCGTTTCCTCCTCATTGCCCTCTTTAGCTTCTTCCCCAGCGTCATTAGCATCCCCTGCCTCTCCCTCTTTGCCCTCCGTCTCCTGTACCAATTTCTCTTGCGCCTCGTCAACCGCGTTAGGATTCTGGCTTCCAGGCTCCTGGAATCTCACCTTGGTGGCCACCTTCACGTCCACGTTGTGGTGGTGGTCCACAATCGCCTGCACCTGTTGCACATTACACGGGTATCAACGAATCTGTGACGAGTCACCGTGTCCCGAACAGCAGGAGATAGTCAAAGTGTGTCGAAAAAGACGACTAACTCTAGCGTCAAAGCACTCTATAATGATCTGACTAAATGAACGATCGCTAAATGGAAGCATTCTCGGCTATGAACGTGCCAATCAAAAGCTGAAACGTTTGGAAGTTTCGGTCGGGAGTGACCCGGAGATGGATATATAAACGTAGTGATGAGATGCAAGAAAGCAAACTGGTGGAGGGATCGACTGCGGCAATATTCCAAAATCAAAACAAGTTGCAAATCAGTGAGAGAGAGAGAGAGAGAAAGAGACAGAAAGAGAGAGAGAGAAGAAAATGCAAGACAGATATAGTATTATATCTCGACCCGATTAAACCGAGGAGGAATCGTGAGTGTCCTGAAGAGACGATTCCCACGTCACCTCCAAGAGTTCATTTTCTCGATATGGAAGTGAGTTAACACGATGTCGTATGTAAGTACGTGTACGTATTATGTGTGAGTTGGTGAATGCGAATGGAATCGATTGGAAACGAAATGCGATTTTTTTTTGTTTTCTTTTGTTACAGAGATTTGGAAAGAATAAGGATTCGTGGATGACACGCATTTTTTTTTGTGTGTCTTGGTCACAACAGACACAGAGATAGAGGGGATAAACTGACGAAGGAACGCCGGGAATTTTCTGACAAACCAGAGGTAAATTTTCTTCAGCGGGTACCTCGTTGAAGTCCACCAATGACTGCACCTTATCCGTGACGAGCACGCAACAAACAGACACATACCGATCAGTAATCGTAGCCGTAGCAATTCTTATTTTACGTACTAAATATATATATATATATATAAACAAATTTAACATTATGTATAAAATATTTTTCTTTTCCTTTTCTTTTCTTTTTTTATGGTTGTTGACTGATTTCGCGATTTTATCACTTACCACTCCTAGGGATTCCTTCTTGTTCAGTCGCAACTCTCTCAGCATCTGGTTCCTCTGCTCCATCATCAAAGTTCGCTCGTAAGTATACGCGGATATATCTGAATCCATCTATAGAAATTAATAATTAAATTTAATTATTTTTATTATTTAGAATATTCAGGTTTTTTTTTAAGTTTGTTTCGTTTAAACAAGGATTTAGAAAATCCTTCATCAATCCTTATTATATATATTATAACTTACCATTTCTACAATTTCTACTTCAGCCTCGATTCTCAAGTCGTACAGGAATTTCTTCAAATCCTTCTTCATCTGAATAGAATTATCCTCCATCTGAGCAACTGTGAAGATTCTCATTTTGCAATTCTTCCATGTGCGATGTTGCTTGAGCAAGAATGGTAACAGCATCAGAAGACCGCCATCGTGCACAATCCACCAGACATCGATATTTCCCACAACTTTCTCCGTTGAATCAGGGAAGAAGTTAATTCCTTTAGGCACCAAAAGAGCCATCCTGGCTGCAGCAACTGCTCTAACAGTCTGCAAGAATCCCCTCCAATTTCTTTCCTCTTGTGACTGTTTCCAGCTATAGGGCCAGCCAAGAATCACAGTGTTAGGCTTCATGCCGCCTAATCCGGTCGTTTGAATCAAAGAACAGAGACCATCGACAACGTCCTTAGCCACTAGGACATCTACGAATCCTTTCACTTTTTCCTCTGCGATCGTCTTGCGCAAATTCACTTTTGCGGCCAAAGTCTTGCCAGTGTTTTGAATGTAATCACCACCGATGCAACTGACACAGATTGTCAGACCTTTTCCAGCCTTCAATTGACTAGCAAATGCGAATAATTTGCGATACTTGGGTACCAGATCATCCGTCAGCTTAGCCAAGATGAGAATTTGTGGTCGCCAGTTCTTCGTATGAGGTGGCCCTTCCTCCAGTCTCAAAAGAGAGTAACGAGCGGCTGATAGAGCCAGACCACGAATACCGTCACCCCATTCTTTCTCGGCACCTCGGTATTCAATGTATTTGTAAATACAGCCAGCCATTCCCATGGCCAATAAAGCGTAGTACCAGCTTGTCATGAACATGATGGCGATGCAGAGAGACAGACCGAGAAAAGAAAGGCTCCAATGATAGTATTTGAATCTTGGTCGCCAGTTGGGTGTTCTGAGAAGAGTCTGCAGAGCGCAAGCCAGATTTACAAAGCCATAGCACATGAGAAAGAACATTGATAACAAGGGAGCCAGATAGTCAACATTGCCAAGAAGGATGCCACATTGGCAAATGATTACTGTCAACACTAGAGCCCTTGTAGGTTCTCCTCGACTCGAACTGGTGGCGAATGGAGTTAAGAAAGGAATGATACTGTCCTTAGCAATAGCTTGGAGTAATCGTGGAGCGCCCGTTAAAGATTGAAGTCCAGCACCAAGAGTGGACAGGAAAGAACCGATTAAGATGACCCATTGATTGGGCCAAGCCATATTCGCTACTACCAGTTTGCCACCAATACTCTGGCCAAACTTATCTCGAAGCAGAAGATTGTCCACTGTACCGGCAAAAAGTAAAACACTGGAGAGATATACTGTTGAGGTTGTCAAAATAGCACAAATGGTACCAATAGGAATAGATTTCTGGGCATCTGCTAAGTCACCTGATCTATTGGAGCCAGCCATGATTCCTATGGACAGATGATATAAATATTTATTTAATTTTTTAATTTCAATCATGCTAGTTTTTAAAATTAAGAAATTCCAAGCATCAGTAGTAAAATTTTTCATAACTTACCTGTGACTGAAGGGAAGAAAATACCAATAAGAATAGTGAAGGTAGTGGTAAGATCGACTTGAATTTGATTGAAGGAAGAATTGGACATCATGTCAATATCTTTGGGATCTCTTCCATAGGCAATCAGTTGGCCTTCTTCTTGAAAGCTGTCCCATATATTGTCTAAACATTACAGGAATATATTTATATCATCTAATATTTCTTCAAATCATTGAAAAAGAATTTTTAAAGAATTGTACCTAAAAATACACCACTGGCCAATCCACGAATTCCATTTATGATAGTCACATCGTTTTCCATATAATAAGGATCACATTTGCTAGTGCTACTGTTTCCACAATAGAGTTGATGAAGAATTCCACTAGTATTCTTATTACATTCGGTAAGTACGTTGATATCTTTTAATAATCTCCTCCCGAGAACACACATCCTGGAGATAAACAGAAAACATTCGTGAAGTTGTTTCGATATAAAATACGAAAATTCATTATGCACGATTATGTACTTGAGAGATTCGTTGCCGTAAAAGTTGTAGAATAACCCTACGTAGACAGCCACGATAGAGAGGATGACACAAGCAAGAGCGACCGTCGCAAACTTGTTGACGAATTTCACGCCAATGAATACGATGGTGCCCATTACCATGAGTAGTCCAGTACCGTATACGCGAAAGTTGTTATACATGATGTTAGGGTCTTTTGTAAAGTCTCCAAATATACTAAGCGATGGCGCCATGTAAGTCTAGGGAAAATAAAAATCTTTAGTATTGCATTGTAGCATATTTGTATTTTGGTGACACTTTAGCATAATAGATAGAACAATTACCAGAACAATTTCAACAGCACCGATGATATACATGGCAGCAGCTAGAGTCGTACCCGTGTAGAAGAGCATTCCTACTGCACCACCGAATTCTGGACCCAAACTTCTGGATATCATGAAATAAGACCCTCCAGCTGGCACAACGCCATTAGTCGCGATGGCGCTCATACTGATAGCTGTCAGCATCGTCTATGTATACAGAGAAATGTTTTTTGGTGAAGAATTATTCAAAAATTTAACAATTTTAAAATTTTTTCTCTCTGAATTTCTTCTATCTTTATTTAATTTATTTTATTTTTTTATACATTTTCAAAGCTTAGAGTAACCAAGCTCGGCCATAAATGACTCAATTTACTACACGATTAATCACGAGACTAATCCTTAATTCGTATCGCCATTAATCTCCACACGCATCCAATCCAAATATTGATTGGATCAATTCATATCCACTATATTGAAACTTCAACGTCACTTACCACGCAACAACAACATAACACGATAAAGAAACCCTGAAAAGCGCCAGCGGTGCCAACGACCCAGGTCAAACGAATGAATAGAATCACACCAAAGATGTTTTGGATGCAAGGTAGGAAGACACCGATCAAAGTGCCCATTCGTGCACCACCTTGTACGGGTGGAGGTTTCGCATCCGGGTCGGTCGCAGCTGGAATCGTGTTGCTGTAATCCGACAGGCTGTTGAGCAGCGTGGAAATTCGAGGACGAACTTCCATCTCTTCCTGAAACCATGAAAATCAACTTATTGCATTGTGTTGACGACCAACAACCAATCCTTTATTAATTATATTTTAATTAATTTATTATTCTTAAAATAGTGTAATATTATAAATAACAATAAGTGTATGACACGATGTGTTCATAATCAAATTTTTTATATTTAATTTCATTTCATTTATTTTATCATCGAATAATATAATATAAATTTATCCAATTTTACTTAGAAACAGTGTAACAGTTAGAAAAGTAGCCATAATTTGAACAGGCTAAGTTCAGAATATCAAAAGCCTTGAAGGCCAGGCTAGCGTGAAACTTCTCGTTAATTGGATCACTTTGAGACTGGTTTCCACCTGAAGCACAGGTAGTTCAATTTCTTGGAGATGTAACTTGTAACAGACTATGAAACTCTAAAAGTATCTCTAATACTTTCAACGTGGAGGTATTTTTAATATCTTTTTATTCAAAATTAGTTAATTACAATAATTTATATTAGACTCGAATCAAGTCACGTAATTTCTAAATAGTCTAATCTGTCGTAATTGTCCATTGAAGAAAAGAAATCTAAAAGAATTAAATAGAAGGAACGAGTGTAGTCGTCGTTCGAGCCAGTCTGATCAAGCACGTACTTTTCTACTTACAGTAAACGGCAATTTGTTGCATTCACTTTGTGAAAACTTTTTAAATGCTCTTCGTGATTCGTTATCGAAGTTTGCTCAAATAATTGGTTGATCACACACGTTCCTTTCCACTTACACCGCTAAAGTCCTTAATAAATTGAAACGTGACTGTATTCTATCGGCTCCAATCAATTAATTTTTACAATTAGAAAAGTCGAAGAAGGATTTATTATATTATAAAATTTTCGAGATTTTTACCCCGTTAAATTGGAAAACCATTCACGTTTCGCAAGATTCATTATCGCGTCGCTCGTTTTTCTTTTTTTTTTTTTCATTAGCAGCAAGACAGGTAGAGCGATAGTTAAGAGAACTTGGTTGATTATTAATATTCAATACGAAGACGATATTGGGAAGGAATTTGATGTCGTTCAAACAGAAAAAAGCCGATGAATATAACGAACGATCGTTTTAATTGGACGAACGATGGTCTCGTGGATTAACTCACTGAATGTATTTAATTAATTAGTTAACGAGACGTTCTATTTTAACGATATCGTAAAAAAAACACACACACACATACTGAAAAAGAAAGGAAAAACTTATCATATTTTCGTGAAATATTATTTAATCGATGATCGAAATCTATTTTTTTTATATAAAATAAAATTCATGTAAAAATATATACATGATCATATCAAGAATGTGGGATTCCTTTTTAAAAATTTTAAAAAAATTTTCTATTTCTCGACCAGTATTTTTTGTTAATAAACTCGTATAATAAAATCGAAAAGAAAATTTTTACGAGGGAAAATGTTGTTTAAAATTAGAAATTTTCAATTAATCATATTTTTGATCACATCCTGTATAAATTTTTGTATCTTGAACACAGGAAAAAGAAAAGAAATTTTCCAATTTCCATGGAATGTAACCCTGTATAAATTTTTGTATCGTTGCTCGTAGAAAAACCCTGTATCATTGTTGAACGAAACCATTTTTCCATGGCAGAAGAACTTTCATTGAAATTCCGCCGAGAGAATTCCTCCCAATTTTCAACGAAAGAATAATTAGTTCTCTTTCTAGCAAGAACAAAAAGCCCTGGTCGAAAGCAAGTAGAAACAATGAAAAATTGTTTTCTCAAAGCAAAGCATTCCAGAAGAAAATCGCCATGGAAAATCAGTTTCGCAGTTCAATCTGATCCGAATCTCGACAAAGTCGCTTTTAGCGTGGAAAGTCGCCTCGACACGCTTCCATCAACCTAACCTAAGAGAAGAGAGAGGTTTATCGGGCCTGGAAAGTCGATCGAAGGTGCTGTTCCATTCGATTTACGTTTGCGTCAAAGTCTCTCGCCAGTTTCGACCAACTTTCTATCCAGATTCTAATCTAATTAGCATTCTATCTAACCGATACAACTAATTAATTGTTGGGAGTTGCGAGAAATCGATAATCGAAGAGGCAACTATAAACGAATCGTAAGAATTAAGAAAAATGCGAACAAGTGACAATCCTACAATTTTCTTGTAAAAGTTACTCTTAGAGCAACAATTCTTTTGATATTAAACATAAAGAAATTCGAAAGGTTGGGAAGAAGATTAGAAAATTTTTTTACACCCAAGAAAACTTCAACTCGAAATTTACTTGGATTGCCCATCGTCTTGCTATTCTCGAAAGGGGTTCGATCAACGAAATTGGACGGATTTCAACAACGTCTCGCCGAAGAAAGATACGATCATCACGATTTTGAAATGCAGGAAAAAAAGACAAAGAAGAGAATCTCTATATTAATTAACTCGGCTCCCTTTCAACTGTATCGAGATGTTCCTAGGCTCGCGGTTTTGGCTTCGACCTCGATTCTTGGATATCCAATTATCCGTTTCTCTTCTTGCACTGACCTCTCAGCTAGTGTGTCCGTCGAAATTATCTCTGACCAATCTTATCGTCGCTCATTTCCTTTCCATCTCTCTCTCTCTCTGGTTTTGCCTTCGTTTGTTTGCCTATCATCCGCCCGTTTGTTTCTCGTTCGCCATTTCCGGACTCGATATCCGATTTCTTGCCGAGGAAACGAAGCGAAAAAGCTGAGGAGGAGGAGGAGGAGTATCGAGAAATTTTAGGTGTTCCAGGTGAGTTGGTTCTTTCGATCGTTATTTCGATTGCACAGAGAGATGAAGTTGGGGATTGGAATAAGTAGACTCCCTATCTCTTCTCCTTGAACGAGTTTCTTTTTATTCGGTTATTTCTTTTTTTTTTTTTTTTCGCCTTTGCTTTCTTCGGTGTTGAATGATATTGTACGAGTTTGTCACGAGTTTGTACAGTAAGAATGGATACAAGAATGAAAGACGGGGACAGACGTCCTTTTCTTTCATTCATCCGTTTCAAGATTTCGTTTACTGCGTTTTTCATTTACTTTACGCTATATTGAAAATTTATACAAAAAAAGGATATAGTTGTACTCATTCTTCGAATTCTTCATCCACAATCAAAATCTTACGATCGTTAATTTTCCTCCATCCTTTATCATAGGTTTTTGCTTTGTCAAAAAGAGTCAAGCTCTTCGTTCGAGATATTATTCGTAATTTTTACGATCGAAATGGGAAATGGGATAAAAGAGGAGAGGCGGCGATTTACCAAGAACCACCTGGAGAAACGCTCTTTAAATCGCTCGGGGGGACAGCGATTACAATAAGAAAAGGAAGCGAAAGACACTCACGTCGGGGAAGGGTCCCTCGTCAGCCCAGGTATGGAACGGTTGAACGAGAGAAGGACGATGTTTCGAAGAATAAAAAAAGATGCACGATCGCGGTGGAATCCATTCGAGGCTCGGCTTGTTCGTTGAACGACAATTAAGCGAATTGCACACTCGAGCGAATCCCACCCCTTTTTTTTTTTTTTTTAAGAAGACCCTTCTTCTTTCGAGAAAAAGGGAACGTTTTCTTATCCAACTTTCATCACGCGGCGAATTTTCGAATTATAAATTCAGCCCCCCTCCCCCCTCGAACTTTCACCCTTTGCGGGAATTTCGACTGTCAATTTTAGATTAAGAGGAAGTAGGCAGACGTGTTCGAGTCAAAGGATATTTTGATTGAAATTTGAAATTTTGTGAATTTAAATTAAGAGAAGAGATACCCGGGCGCGTTGACGTATTGCAAACGGATGAATGTTTAAAGTAATGGTAAAACGATGGTGAATATCTGAACGATTCGATTGGCGAATAAATATATATTTATAAAGTAATGGTGAATACTTTCACAACAATTTAATTACGTAATCTAATTAAAGTTTGTAAGAAGATAATTCAAAGGTAATTTACACTCGCCTCGAGATCTTAAGTTATTTATAGAAGGGTGGCGTTGTCATTGATCGAAGTCGCAAGCGGATGGAGGTGAAATATATTTACTTACGCTATAAAGGAAGAGATTCGTCTCGTATTCCGTATTCTTCTTCTCGGAATTACCGCCGCCCACCATGGAGTCGCCATCTCCACCAGCGCCGCCGCCATCGCCTGCAAGCAAGAAAAAGATTTCCTTCGTATTTTCTTACGTAATTGTTGCAAAAAAAAAAAATTTCATTTTCTCTTCCTTTCGAGGAAGAGAATCGAATATCGATGCGTAAGATAAGGGAATAATGTCGAAAGATAAGGGTATAAAAAAAGGGGGGGAAAAATACAAAGGTGTAATATCGAAAAAAAAAAAAAAGAAAAAAATAATAGCAGACGATTTTAAAAGAATTTCTGCTATTTCTCGAAAGTTAGAATGGATTAACCGGATATGGGTAAAATTTGTTTTTCTATTGATTCGAATATCTGTTTAATAGAAAATGGCAAAGTTTTAATAGAGATACAAGAGTGGGTAGCGTTTTTGGTTAAAAAGTTTTAATAGGCGTCGAGGGAGATAGGCGCATTGATAGTTTCTTTGCGACACGAGAAATTGGCTTTTTCACCGTGATATGTTTTTCTCCTCCTCCTCCTCCTCCTGTCTTTTTCCTTTCTTTCGAACCGCAACTGCGAATTGGATTTCGATCGACCGTTTCTTTTTCCTCCTCGTGAAACGATTTACAACCAAATAAAAAAACCTTCTCCATTTTCTACTTTTAATTTAAACGTTGGTAAAAGTTGGAAATCAATTTTAGTTAGTTTAGAATCAGACGATAAACTATTTTCATAATCGAGCATCGATTTAATATAACTTGAATTTATTCTTAGAGATGTATTTCACTTTTCGTAATGTTGAGAAGAGTCTTGTTTGGATAACGTTCTTGGATCAAGTGGGTTATTAGTAGTTCGAGTCGGGCATTAAGTCCTTGTAGTTGGAAGAAATAACTTTTGATAGGTCTATCATCGTTATACAGAATCTTGTAAACATCGTTATACAGTAACACGATATTAATTCGATCCAGTTTCATTCAAAGATCCAAAGATTATGTTAGTAGTACAAGTCAATCGATTCACCGCCATCGTAATTCTAATTATCCCTTCTCATTTAAATTCGTCAATTATCTTGTAAAAAAAAAAAAATCTGATTTCAAAATAGTGATAAAAAAAAAAAAGAAAGAGAGAAAAGAAAAGAAAATAATCTAATTGGAGTAGATGCACGAGATGCAAAAATTCCTCCGTCCATTGCATTCAGATTAATACATCGGATCGATCGGATGCAGCAGAGGTAACAAGAGTCCGCAGAGGCGTCTCGACGTGCTTCGACGTCGAATCGACGCCTGTTACTACCGTGGCCACGTATTTCTTCTCCCTCAATAACGGATTACGTTCGAGCACGTTTCAATCCAGCCTCCACATTGTGAATTCCACGAATATATTCTTCCCTTCCTTTGACGTTGCAACGAACGTGTTGGTTTCCATCTAGTTACCGTAAGGTTAACCATTATTGGCAACACTGCATAGAAAATCATGAAACACGCGAGAGAACAAAGATTCCAATTGTCACGATTTTTCTGTTTAGAATTAAAAATTATTATATAATGTAAAAAAGTTAAGGAAAAAATTATACCATTTTTTTTGTATATTTTAAGTAAAGTACTTTCAGAAAAAGTTTATATCAAATATTGTTTTGTATGAAAAAATAAAGTTAACTTTTATAAGTCCTTTTTACGTGTGGAAAGAATGAATATTATATAGCCCATTCAACTTTTATTCTAAACATTTTTTTAATATCATAAAAAATAAACGAGATATTCCATTAAATTATACGGGGCACCTGGTATATTCCTGAACGACAGAGATAAATATAAAAAGATACACTAGATTGTTATTCAAAAACCAAATAACTATATTTCATCGAAAATGTCGTCTTAAAAAAAGATCGTCTCTCCCTTAGGGAATTTTTGTCCGATTAAATGAACGATCAACCGAAATAGCAGAGGAACTTTCTTCACGCGAAGATCGAATATCCCTATTCGTTGCATGTTTTCTTCTCTCGCTCGTTCCCTAGGGGAAAAGTTATGAGAAAATAGACTCGACACCAAAACGTCAAGCGTCGAAAGAAAGCTGTAAATGGAAATTCTTGTCCCGAAAAAAAAGAAATTCTTTCCTGATCCTCTTTTGCTTGGTTAAATTTCTATTTCACAGGTTAACCGTTCCTAGAGGAAAAATACTTTTTCCACTAGAACAATTCGATCGTTATGATAACGAGATTCTTGAGCAGATCTCGGCCTCGAGAATGATGGAGCAATTAGAAGAGAGGGACTCGATATTTGAAACAAGCTTCCCGATGCAACGTATACAGAGACAATTGGGTTGCATTGTAGCGAACCATTTAAAAACTAGGCCAGTCAATATTAACTTGCTGATTTGTCTCTTTGTTCCTTTGACGAGTCTTCATCCGCTCGTTGCGGATATCCAGAAATCTGTAATGGGATCGTCGAAGAAAATTTTGATCCTCGAATTTGATCTTCTTCAATCCTAGTAAGTTTAATCTAGTAACTTTTCCAACTGAATCAAAATTCAAAATTCGAATTGTTTCTTCATTTCACGTCGTGAAGTTGGATCTTAGAATTGAATTTATAGGTTTTCACGGTACGCTGGCCGAATAACAATAGAAATAGAATAAAAGAAATCGAAAAAGAAAATAGAGTAGATGGCGCATCGGAAGAGATGGCCAGTGCTGATTCGGCCAGTTCGATTCCACTCTTCTGTTTGTGTCGGTGCAGCAGTTTCTTCGAGTGAAACAGGACGGAGAGACACGTGACAGAATACACCGAAGAACTGTACATACGAACTGTATAGAAAACGCTTCGATTTGCTTTTCCAATTCCCCGTTTTTGTCCGTTTGACTTTCCGTCGTTTCTTTATTGGTCAAACCTCTCGAGAGCACCGGTCTCGATTCTTTTGAACAACACGTTTCGACTATCCAATTTTATACCCGCTTCCTTTTCGAATCCTTGAATCAACTTTCACAAGAGAATTCTCCTTCTCCTCTCTTGTCTTTTATTTTTCTTCACAATTTACTCCCTTCGAAGAATTATTTCGAAATATAAACGTTTCTATTTTATTTTAAAGTGATAAGAATAATGATAATTTTTGGATTTAAATTAATATTGATCAATCAAGTTTTAACTTAAGAAAGGATTGATCGAACGAAGCTGCAAATTGAAGGAACAATTTCGCGGATGCTGACGATACCGTCTTGCGGTTGCTCGAAATTCACTTACTTCTCGTCAGGTGCACTTTAACTTGGCACGGAACACCCGTAACCATAATTTCGAGCTCGACGTTCAATAGGATCCTTCCAATTTCGTGCAAATCGTTGCGAAATCAATTCGATATCCAATACAGTTTCCAAAAGCTTTGGCCATTGTTCCTGCAGCGCAATCGCAAAACTCCAAAGGTAATTAAGACGGGTAAACACGAGAAATCGAAAAATTTTTGAAACATACTTCCATCTCTTTTTATTAAGCTGTTGCATATGAATACGAAACACTTAATTTTACACTTTTACAAAAAAAAAAAAACGACTAAATGTATGAATAATATTTGTTCATCGAAAACATTGCATTAAAACAAATACCAATCAAAACACAAACACGACATATGTATTCATCGATAAATCTAGAAAATTCTTCGATCAAGAATTCTGGCAAACTTGACATCGCCGCAATAATAATCCAAGGATGCACAACACCTTCATTAAAGAGGGACCCGCTCGGCATCGACACCATTTAACTGCATCGAGTTTCACGCATCCCTAATTATTTTAATGGCCAGATATTTGCTACCTTCCATTACGTTCCTCGATCGTGGCCGCGAACCACCGCGTTAAAATCGATTTTGACGCGAGCCGTGGCGAGATGGCGTGGCGTTCGGGATCTGGCTAATTACCATGCATCTGCTCGTTACCGGCAGAGACACCGAGTAAACACGAGAGAACGGCCGTAAGGTATGCGAGAATGGTGGATTAATTAGAACGTGAATTCGAATGGAAAAGGTCGTATCGCTCGGTCCCCCGATGTTTACAATATTGATTCATTTCATCGTTTGCACACACGAATCGAATTATGAAATATAATAACAAGAGAAATCCTTTTCAACGTTTTCCTTTTGGGAGGGGAGGATGTTTGGACATGTTAATCGCAGCAATGGAAACGTAAACGGCTCGATTTCATATTAGCATAGTGTTCGACTCGCAATTCGAAATAATCCTGTATGGAATAAATCGAGAAGTTTTCTCCGTGCTTTTGTTCGTTTCGAGTTTTTCGACTGATTCGAGCTGTTAACGAATGAATCTTCGTCGAGACGAATTTGATCGATTTTTATATTAGGGTATATTTTATTTTGCTTAGTGATAAATGTTGTTTCGAATCGGGAAATTCGGTTCTCGATTGTAAGTAATCGGTTTTCTTTTATTTTCGATTGGTTTAATTACGTTTACGCGGAATTGATTTGGTAAAGACGAGCACCTCGATAAATGAAACTTTTATACGTATTTCGATTTTAACAAATGTTTTGTAAAAAAAGAAAAGAATAAATTGGCTCGTTCGACGATTCAATTTCAATTGTCTTTGTAAATTTGCTTTTGTTTTATTTTCGATCGGTTCAATTACGTTTACGTGGAATTTGATAAATGGAACTTTTACACGATAAATATAGATATTTCGGTTTCAACAAATTCTCGAAATGTTCTCGAAAAATTGAAAAGAATGAAATGGCTCGCGCAAAGATTCAATGGGGTTTCCAGGGCGGGAAGTTACGCAACCGCGAGGAACTTAATTACGTTAAGAAGCGTAGAGGAGGAGAGAGAGAGAGAGAATAACAGGAAGTGTCGTCGGTGTAAACACTTGGATAGGAGCGGGCAAGTTACCCTAAGTGGCTGAACTCGCGGAGAACGGGCTTCAAACGCGATTAATTTACCGACACGTCTTACATTCCCAATTCATAATTGATTCTGCCCTCGAGAGCCAAGTTTCGAGACATGTATGTATATAAAACTTTCCTCCCTATTTCTTCATTCAAACATACTTGTTTGTGACAAGTTATTTTCAAATTAACAAGAGGAT